AACAATGCATGGACAAAAAAAATATCCAAGACTGGTTGACAAATCAAAACATACCATTTTTAAACACAATGTTTAAAACAGAGCTATTGAGTATTGTTTCTCGGTACATAATGCTAGCTTAATTATATATATTTTGGTCGACAGTTTATATTTCTTTTGTTTATTCCTATTCTTAAAATAACTGCTTTTTTAGAAACAAACCACCTAAAATATACGTGATTGATGAATTGGCGGAACAACATGGGCACAAAGTTCTTCGTCTGCCTCCTTACCATTGTATATTTAACCCTATTGAGTTAATTTGGGGCATAGCAAAAGGTTACTATAACAGACATATTGGTAGAGATGGTAACAGTGAAAAAGACTGTTTGGATATGTGGAACGAGGCTCTACAAACGGTTACCCCAGACATGTGGAAAAATAGTGTTCGACATACTGAGCAAGAAATTTTTAAATGGTATGAAAGAGAACGAATTTTTGATCGACCAGACATCGAACCTTTAATAATCAACTTTGAGAGTGATGAAGATTCAGATTCAGACAGCGCTGAAGAAAGAAACTCCGACTAACTTTATTGTACAGAAAAAGCTTACACCAGTAGCTTACCTAATTTTAGAATGCATTTTTCTGTATGAATTCTGTAAAATAAATACCATGCATAAAATTTGGAGGACCCCATTTGGATTTTTATTCAGTACCTTTAAGCAATCAATTAAATATGGTAGTTTCATAGTGTCATCTGATCAATAATTGTCATACTTAATGATTATGCAAGTACAGATCTATAATTTTATTATACTATTATTTTTGTTCTCATTTGAGGTTAATATTGCTTATAAACCTAGATATGTAAATAATAAATTTTATTATTTTACAAAAAGTTTGGCAACAATGTAAATTTTTCAACACACCCACCTTGATGACGTGCACGCCACTTTGTTTGGCGTTGACTATAGTTAAAATATCTTTAGCAACGTATTTTATCGATGGAAAAATCCAATTACTCACTTGTTGCATTTTGTTTTCAAGTACTTTCATACTAGGTTTTAGCTTTAGGCTGCAAAAGATTGCCTCTAGTCTAATGAGAGCAGTCGAAATATTCACATATTTTGGAATAGAGGGCTTAATGTTACGTTATTACAGTAGACAGAAATTAAAATACTGTAGTAAACAGGAATTTTCAAGACGTACTATAGATAGCACCAATTGTCTGTTAATAGGATTTAAAGCATAATCTGAGGGTCGCCAAGGTATTGAGTACCATTTGGTTCGCCGCGCCAGCAGCCAATATTATTACTAACTTCAGTGGCGTAGCGTGGGGATAGGGGCTTGACCCCGGGTGGCATACGATAAGGGGTGGCGGCAAGCGCAGCAATCTTTTAAACTATAAATCAAAAAATCGTATTTCAATCACCAAATAACGGTCACTCTGATAGTCTATTGAAATTATTCATACCCGTTCAGAAACCAAATCAGTAAAGCGCTTTTTATCGCTAGATGGCATCACCAATACCACTTTGTGAATTTTTGAACACGTTGCCACTGTTTCAGGTAATCCGTCTCGCGCATCTGATCATTTTCAATCACGTCACTTAGATTTGGATGACTCGAAATTGTTTTTTTATCTGTTGTTTTCGGAAACATAAGGTGCTAGACCGAATGTAAACATTTCTAATCGAAATTGGGGTAATTTCGACCATTTTTATGTTTAAGCTATTACATCAAAATATATCCTAAGGTGTATTTAAAATAAAATAGAAGTTTTAAAATGGGATGCGCATTAATTAAAGAAATACTTTTTTTATGTACATACATGTTTCACTGGGTATAAAGAATTTTTAGTATGTTGATGTAGTACTTTCAAAATATTTTTAATAGCTAAATACAATGGTGGAAGCAAACATTGCAAACCTAAATCTCAGGTATAATTTGCGAGGGCATTTGTACTGTACCTACATCACATAACTATTTGCCCGTAGAGGGGATCGAAACCGTAACCTCTAGCTTCAGTGCTAGCGTCCCTAATTACTCGATTATGTAGCGGGTCAGAATATTCTAAAAAGTTAAAAAATTATGAGTGCTGCGTTCGGATTTCTGGGCTTATCAACATAGGTACATTATTGCCACCAGGCTTAAAGATGGCGTACCAAACATTGTCATAATGTTGAGAATTTTTTCAACATCTGCCATTGAGCCTTTGAGGCTCTTAAATTTAGCTATTGTGATAACCGAACATGACATACATGTTGATATTGACGATTGCATAAGAGATTTTGCTATAAAAAAAACACGAAAAGTTCATTTTTAGTTAATTAAAGAATTTAAAGATGCTTCATTTGGCTTTTACTGATTTTCTAGACTGATAATTAAAATTTGCGGTCGACCCCGGCGACAAGAATCCACGCGACGCCTCTGGCTAACTTGTACCAGTATATTATGCGCGACGGCTACCAGGAGCCATTTTCATCATTAAATGGTAATTTTATTATGGGGAAAGTTTTGTCGTTATTCTTGAAGTAAGCTTGGCTGTACATATTTATCTAACTGAAGTTATTTAGGGCAAACGTTCATATTAGTATGAACCTGGAAAATAAGCAGATTAAGGTGTGGAATAATTAGAAAATAACAGAAAAATGTAAACTTATACTTAGAGCCCACTCTCACCGTCAAGTTTTGGCGACAGTTTGATACTTTACACATTTAATCACGTTATCGAAAAAAGTAATATCGATGAAAAAATAGGATTTTTTGAAGTAAAATGATATCTCTTTAAACTATGCAGTTGTGGCTAAAACGATCTAATTACTGAATTTGTATTGCCTGGAAGTATATGTATATTGGAGTTCTATATTAATGGAAATACCTGTCAACAGTTAAAATAATTTTTCAATTTTAGTGAATTTGTTGACTCCGAAGAATAACTCATACGTAGTGTGAAATTGTAGATCAAATGTTTAGTTTCTTTAATTATAAGATGATGGATACTAGGAGTGTATCGAGCACTCGGCTTGTACCTGGTTCACGGCCGATTTTAGCGACTACCCGGTATCGCCCAGTATTGAATTACTCCGCCAGGAAATACACAGAACTTTTGCAAATCAAAGAATTTCAAATGCCTTGTGCACCATTAAAAAAAATCAAGCTTACAGCATGTTTTTGCCAGAGTCAGTTGCCTGTTCTGGATGATTTTAAATGTCTCTTATTTCTTATACAGTGGTTTAGAAAGACGTATCAATATTTAGGTACATGCAAAAGTAACAAGAAAAGTTAGGATTAACGTTTTTAGTCTTTCTCAAGGTATATGTAAAAAATTCTCTACACTGATCCACGCTGATTTATAAATTGCTGTGAGGAAATCGCAAATTCTGCTTATATGATAAATTTGACGACCCATACATCATTCACTGTGTCGAGGTATTAAATTTGCCAATTTGCAGTTAAATATCTTATTACCCTTCATTTGAACGTGGATCACCAATATTTTTTTGACCACTGGTGAAGAATGCATTATGTACATTCATCTGAAAACATTTTTACATTAACAAATTTGATTGACATATATGGATGGAAGTTGGAAAGTAAAGCTCTTGCATCTTGTAAGCTACTTTTGTAAGAACTTTGAACCCAAGGGCACGGCACGTTCTACAATCTAAAAATATAGTTTTGTTTTTTACCATTGATCAATTCTGGTATATCTTGAGAACCAAAGTATTCTGAGAATAATATAGGATTAGTTATAGCAACATTGCCGTATGGTACTGTCGGTAGGGCAGGAAACTAGAAATGACATATTTTAGAACAATAAACATGGTAGAAAACCCGCAGAAGGCTAGCCTTGTACGCGGGTATGCATTAGCTTGTGAATAATTACGTACTACGAGTACTTAAACTAGAAATAAAAAGACACACGTGATTTTCTAAGAAAAGAACAATAACAACATTAAATAGGATTTTAAAATACATTATCTGACAAAGTGGGAGTATGGATGGCTTCATTTAATTATAGATCCCTTTTAAGGCGAAATGTCTTATTTAGGACACAAAGTGTATCTTAGGTTATTAGTGTTTTTGTTTTCTGTTCTCTGTTTGGGGGATATATCGAGTGTGTTGTGAAAATCGGTAGATAAGTATACCAGGGGTATATTGTCTAAATTGGTACTGTTGGGTATACGGTATTTTGTCTAATTCGGTAACTTTATTCTAGTAATTGGTTTTCATGTTAAGTGTATTCTTTTTAAGTCAACGATTTCGTGAATTCTCTGTCTGAGCATTGATGTTATCCAGCCTTTTACTTGCCTTTTAAATGTGTGGAACGTATCATCTTCAGGTCTTGTGGAAGAAGATTGTAACATCTTGGTCGTAGGTAAGAATACGATCTGAGTATTATATTTTTTTTTCTGGTTTTGGCACCTTTAAATAATTCCTGTTTCTTGTTTGGTAAGTATGTATCGGCTCTTGATTGGGAGGACGGGATATGTGTTGCACTATCAAAACTTTTAGTAGGTGTAATTGCCTTATGTCTAATATACCAGGTTCTTTATAGAGATGGTTAGTTGGATACAGTCGGGGTTTATGAGATATTGTCTTTAAAATACTTTTTTGAGTTATTTATAATTTGAATATATGAGCTATGTTCGCTGCTCCCCACGCTATTATACCATAATTTATGTGACATTCTGCCAATGCATGATATAGTATTTTTAGTTGACAATACTCTAGTATGTTTTTAATTCTTCTTATTCGATATAGAACGGATTGCAACTTTTTCGCGACACACGTTATATGCATATCCGATCTGAGGTGTGCATCTATGTAAATTCCTGAATATTTTACACCAAATGGGTGGGGACTGTTTGACTGACTTGATCCACTAACATTCTATTTTCAACTTTTATCTCAGAGGGCGGGCTAATTTGTGCCGAGTTTAATCGTTTATGAACTGAAGACAGTGTTGCGTGGAAAGTGCAGTCAACTACTTGACTCCATCCTTTCTGTTTCAGGTGAGTTTCAAAGGCTTCGGGATTTCTCAAGAGAAACTTGGTGCTGTAGCAAAGTTCATGTATGACAGTAAACAGTATGAACTTCGTCATGGTAGCGTCATCATAGCAGCAATCACTTCCTGTACTAACACTAGTAACCCTAGCGTAATGCTTGGTGCCGGATTGCTGGCCAAGAAAGCAGTTGAAGCTGGATTGAGAGGTAAGTTCACTGTGGATGCATACATACTACTGTCGTTTCGAAAAATATTATATGCCCAGGTTCTCTGCCCTAATAAACCTATGGTTCATAAAAGGTTGTTGGCAGAGAAAGACTAAACTAGATTTGCCAGATCCAGTTCAAAGACAATGTTCCTTTATGCGCTGATGAGGTACTGGTCTTAATGCTGGCTACTTATCCTGGTCCGTCTGCTTTTTACCTTATCGTATCTATATTCTATAACCACAGAATATAAATTTACTCTCTCAGAATGGCAAACTTGTTGGTTGGCAAAATTGTGTGTATGTACCCAACTACATTAGAAGCAGGTTTAAGATTTTCGCTCGTGGATATGTATGTGTAGAGACAAAAAATGCATGGTCTGCAGTCCAAACGACTTGATGAATTTTGACATATGAGGGTGCCGTGGGTACATTGGGTATACTGAAATCTTATAAATTATTTGATTGGAAAAGTTTGAAGATGTGCCCCTTGATTTGTTTTGATAGCACAATTCATTCTTTTTGGTTGGTACAGTCCGGTTGTTGTATTTTAAAAAATATACTTGTTTCTACATTGAAGATTCAAACTCAACAACTAATCACTGACACACTATCGTATGGTATATCTATCTACTTATTTTGGAAGAGTCTGTCTAAATGCGTTTAATTAAAAAAAAAACATGACGGATTTTCCCAATTTTTTCAAATGGAATTATTACTTATACGAATATTGCTTTTCCGAGACAAGAAGATCGATATAAACATTTTTGACATACTACCAGTCCACCACTTTTAGATATAGTGTATTTATATCCAACGGTTATAGAGCCCATTTTTGCACGCGATTTTGATGCTGTAGCACCGCGCATTGTGTTCAGGAGGCAGGCACATTTCCAGCACTGTCTAGGGGCGGTGGATGCGAAACGGGCTGTCAGGCTCGCTGTTTTACAATTATAAACAGTATTCATCGGTTGCGCTTTTGGATGCAGCTGATTCGAAATAAAAATTTATATATTACCATTTCGGATCTGCAGGGAAAAGTGCAGATTACTATACATACTATACTTTTCTATAGTAGTATTGGCAGAGCATTGTCCAACGGTCCTCCGAATCTCTCACCAGCAGAATCGCCTATGATAGAGTTAAGGCCTTTACTAAACGTTTTTGTCGGTGACGAAGCATTTGGAACTTTTGCTAATGTAATGAGACCATATCTAGGGTTACATTTATCAAAAAAGAAACCAAAATCAACGGTCGTTTGTCGATTGCTCGTTTGTGGAATGCGCTCATTGATATGTTGGAGAATGTTGGTTTGCATGACACTAATGAAATAATATCCCCAACGTCCACCTTCATATCACGCGGTCCGCAGTTGGCGCATGCTTACAAGGATCAGGCTGCTAACTACTTGTCCAGCGCGCAAGGTTTAGTGACATTTTATCTCATATCTGTGTATAATATTATTTGATACTTTAAACAAATATGGTATTTTGTCTAGCCACAAAATCTTGATACACTTGACTGCGTATCTACGAGCAATCGGAAAGTTTTTTTTGTAAGTCCCTTTACCACACACAAGGAAACCCCTAATTTGTACCATCGAGTTTCATCCGACTCAGTTAAGGAATTTATGAGAAGTTATAAAAACATGTATCGAAAACATCAATCTTCAACATCCAGTATCTCAGCAACGGTGCCGTAAGATCATCCTGATTACAAACCTAAATAACCTCAGCATGGAGAAGTTAAAAAAAAAATAAATTACTAAAACGAGATATCATCAAAACAACAACTACTACAAGATTCTTTTTTATTCGTTTCTCTCGTTTTTAAATCATATAATAAATAGCAAATTATATAAAGTTACAGTAAAGTGCCTTATCGTTCTACGGTAGATTTTCGAAGGGTTTTTTAAACAGACCACACATCTCATTCTGGTTTGCTTTTGAACCTTGGACCGTCGTTGTTGTATTTCCTGGTTAAATCCTTCAATCCGAAATTAATCCATTTCTAATGGACACTCTAAACAGGCAATATTTATGGCCCGGCTATATCTATCTCGGTTGTATCAGATGATCCATATCTCAGCTATATCTTGGCAGTATTATCTGCAATGTTTATACAACTTGAAACAGTCTCGCAGCAGCAGGGCTACAAAATTAGGCAAACATGATTGCTGAAATTACGTTACAAATGATTCCATTTATTCTGCAGTCTGACAGTACTGTATGAAAATAGGTCGGAAACACCAAACATTTTAGCAATATAATCGGGCAGTGAAAATATAGCCCGTATAGAAGTGCAATAAGTGAACTCGAAGAGAAAAACGACGCGACACATATACAACAAGGCTGTCGGTGTGATATGAACAATCAGTTTGACAACTGTTGACAGTGCGATTGACAAAGTCGCACGACACGCTCAACAAGAAATATCGTGTGCTTTTCCAAAACGCACGTGGCCTTGTCGAATGAACACACAAATCGCGTGCATAAATGGGCCATAAGGTATTACACGCCATGAAATGAATTTCAAAAGTAATTTAAGATGCGTCCTGGCGCCATTTTGACATGTCCAAGTGTCAGCGCTGAAATATAATGCTCATGTACACATCTCATCTCCACGAGTTTCTCTTGACCCGTTATAAATAAGTTTGGGCGTGGGGTTCAGGTTAGGGTTTTTTGAAAAGCATCTTATGTGTGTCTATTGTATGCTTGCAGTACTGCCATATATCAAGACGAGTCTGTCACCGGGATCGGGAGTGGTAACATATTACCTTCGCGAATCCGGTGTGATCCCAGCTTTAGAGGCACTAGGTTTCTCCGTCGTGGGATACGGCTGTATGACTTGTATTGGCAATAGCGGAGGCATTGACGAAAACATAGCCAATGCCATTGAGGAAAATGACCTTGTTTGTTGTGGAGTTTTGTCGGGCAACAGGAACTTTGAGGGAAGAATCCATCCTAATACTAGGTAATGTACTTCAAATCGGTGCATGTTCAACTTTCAGGCTACTCTCACGATTTACCTACCGTAACTTAGGCAGGGCGCCTCAACTTCTTGTCATTTCAAAGCTACTTGTGATCATCTACTGGCAGAATCTGACCTGCCCTGTGACATTTGTCGGTAGAACACAAATAAAGCAATTATGTGGTCATCCTTAATTCGGCGTAGTTCCCCGTACAACTTCGGTTTGCGTTCGACGTTACGATAACTTAGAGCAAGATGGAATAGTTTATCGTTTACAGAGCGTATGAATAAACTACTCTGAACAACTATAGGTTGGTGCGTGTTACATTACGGCAATCGTAAACGTTGACGTCAACCTTATTTGATACAGAAGTCATTGATTTGAATGTCAAATAAGGTTAACGGTAGCATTAATGTATACTAAGTGACATATAAATCCGAACACCCAGTTTAAATGGTTTTATTTTAATAAAAGTTGGTGAATGTATTTATCTTACTGTAAATAACAAGTGAAAAAATTTTCAGCCTTATCAGTTGGACATTCCGGTTTTTATATTGCTTTTTTTTTAATTCACTAACGCTCTAAAAATGAATATTTCAGCCGCAGTAAAGAATCAACGTTGGCGGATTTTGGTTCTTGACATCCTTTACGATCGGTTACGATGCCTAGAGTACGGAGACCTGTACGATTTCGTCAACTTAGTGTGTTTGATAGGGGCCGTATAGTGGGACTTCGGGAAGCTGGACTTTCTTTTCGGGCAATTGCAGTTAGAGTGCAAAGAAGTGTAGACACTGTGGTTAGGTGTTGTCAGGCATGGATTCGAGAAGGCCGTACGCAAAGAGCAAGGGGCACTGGACGCCGCCGTAGAACAACAGACCGTGAAGATCGCCGCCTAAGATTATTGGCCTTAAGGGACCGTTTCTCCACTACCAGGTCCATTGCAAACGAATGGTTCGCAGAACACGGAAGACCTATTGGCATGCGAAGTGTTTACCGACGAATGAGAAGTTTTGGCTTGTTTTCATACCGGCCACACTGGGTCCTCCCTTTAACTCGAGAACACCGACGTAATCGCCTTGAGTGATGCAGACAACGGTCACTCTGGGATCAGGAATGGAACAGTATTGTCTTTAGTGACGAGTCTCGATTTTGTTTAGGCATGCACGATGGTCGTGCCAGGGTTAGAAGGCGACGTGGTGAAAGGAGGAATCCACAGTTTTTTGTTGAAAGACATGTTCATCACACTGTTGGAGTTATGGTTTGAGGTGCTACAGCTTATGGTTCCAGGTCACCTTTAATCTTCATCAGAGGTAACATGAACGCGCAGCGTTATATCCACGAAGTTCTAGAACCCCATCTTTTACCCTATCTTGACACCCTGGCAGATTCAACTTTCGAACAAGATAATGCCCGACCACATGTTGCAAGAGTCACAATAGACTTCTTTCAACATAATGATGTCACATTGTTACCATGGCCACCAAGATCTCCCGACTTATCCCCAATTGAGCACGTGTGGGATATGATGGGTTGGAGATTGCTCAATTTGCAACGTCCTCCTCATACTCTAGAAGCACTTCGAGAGGAGTTGGTGGTTGCCTGGAATGAGATACCACAGGAGGACATTGACCACCTGATCAAAAGCATGCCTAGGCGCGTTGGAGAATGCGTAGCACATCAGGGTACATCCACACATTATTAAAGGTCAAAGGGCTTTAAAGCAGTGCAATCATTTTGAAATTTTTATCATTCACTTATTATGCTTCATTAAGTACTTATACAAAATTTTATTAAAATAAAACCATTTAAACTGGGTGTTCGGATTTATATGTCACTTAGTATATATCGTGCCATAAGTAGCATCTCTACATTCATCGCGGTTGGCCTTTTTTACCTGAAGTTCTAACTCAGCTTACCATCATTATTGCATAGGGCGAACTATTTGGCGAGTCCTTTGCTGGTGATCGCATACGCAATCGCTGGCAGAGTGGACATCGACTTCGAAAAAGAACCACTAGGAAAGCGTCCGGATGGCAGCGATGTGTACCTGAGAGACGTCTGGCCAACCAGGAACGAGATACATGCCGTCGAGCAGAAACACGTCATACCTGCCATGTTCAAGGAAGTTTATGCCAGGATACAGAAAGGTAGCGGAATATAAACTAAACACGATGCTTTCGTCCGTCCGACCAGAAGTCAGCGAACCATGGACAGCTGTTTCGCTAAGACAGTGCAAAGCGCCATCTATCACCAAAATCGACCACTGTGGAGAGTGCATAGCAGCTATTTGTTGGAACTGAAGAGATCTCAGTTACCATGTGACCACTAGATGGCTGACGATAGCCAGAATTGTTAGCCATCTAGCGGTTACATGGTGACTGGGCTATTAAACGCGCCATGTGATCTTTCCAGTTCCAACAAATCGCTGCTATGAACTCTCAGTGGTCGATTTTGGTGATAGGTGGCGCTGTCTTATTTCGGTAGCGCAAGATGATATAATCATATATTAATCATTGCAATTATAGGTTATTATAATAGGCCGATACGCAGGTCATCCAACGCCATTCATATTCATTTAATCTAAATCAGTAATCAATCTCACTTTTTCAAATTTACTCCTAATTCGTATCGATTATAATTTTGATCACGATACTTGCGAGCAGATCAGTTTTTTTTATTTTGAAATCGTTTAATTTTACATTACAGTTATATTGAATTAGTACCAGTGAGTATAATATGGGGAAACCAGTAATAATCGTCGTAACGTGAGGCTGTTGCCATTGGGGCGCAAGTAAATAGACTATATATTGGTGGTGATTGCAGAATACCAGTAGGCCGCAAAGGATTAAATTATTCTAAATCTAGATAAACGTTCGCTTAAACGACTTGCACATAACACTGTCCGTGGAAATGCGTCGCTGTTTTGGGGAACCTTCAAAATGTAAAAGAATCAATGAGCGTTCTTTAATGACAGGTTCAACTAACTGGCAATCGCTGGAAGCTCCATCGGGGCTCTTGTATCCTTGGGACCCATCTTCAACGTACATCAAGAAACCTCCATTTTTCGATGGTATGACGCGAGAGCTTCCCAAGAAGCAGCTCATCCATAACGCTCGAGTGTTGCTCTTCTTAGGAGATTCCGTCACTACCGATCACATCAGTCCTGCTGGGTCCATTGGTAGAACTAGTCCTGCAGCTAGGTAAAATATATCTTTGGACAACCTTAGCATTTTTTCTCATTTACGTAGAATGTATATTAGTACAAAACAAAAAAATGCAATTCGAGTTTTTGTTTCTGTACTGTGAAACATTCGGTTCAATTTTGTAGTAAATTATGTTAATTGATATTGCAAAGTTGAATGAATGTGTATGATGCAGGTATCTTGCTCAGCGTGGCCTTACCCCGAAAGAGTTCAATTCATATGGTGCCAGAAGGGGCAATGATGATGTCATGGCCAGAGGAACTTTCGCCAACATTAGACTTGTGAATAAGTTCATGAGCAAGCCAGGACCTAAAACCATTTTCCTTCCTACCAATGAAGAGGTACGTCACAAAATCATTTATTTGTAGGTTTCGTCTATAATAATTAGAGTTGCAACAGAATATAGTCGAAATCACGAAAGATGACGATTACGTCATCATTTTGGTCTGTAGTAAAGACAAACGACAGCGATTTGTGAATATTTTTAGTTTCAGATATGTAAGACAGAGACAAACAGAATTTTGTTGTCTAAACAAAGTGTATTGCTAATTTGCATGTATCCGACAAAGATAGACGATGTTTTCATGTTGCATGATCGATCATATTTGAAAGATGAATAGTTTGGTTATGTTAAAGCAGGTTCGGTTGTTTTCGAATAATACTTTGGTCTTTGTTGTTCTGTCTACTCATATTTTTTTTCACAACCAAAACTCCCCACTAAAATTATGATTAAGGTATCACTCAAAACCATGAAATAAAATGAACATAAAAATAATCAGTCAAATAACCTAACTTCGCAAAATCATAATATAAATTTGTTGTCATTATGTTCCTGACATCGTGATTTTATCATCGACGTACGTTCATTGATTACTTCAGTACAATTTATGGTATGACGTAATAGTCATCTTTCGTGATTTTGACTATAAATATCCAGTATTTGGCTACAATTTATTGTCCGTCCAGTTACTGAAAACTAGCTTTAGCATCTGGGGAAAGCAGGATACTAATACAACAAAAAGCACAAAATATACGTAGTTTATTTTTATTGCTACAATCGACCTTCAGTCAGTAAAATTAAACAGCCAATAATTCTTTTTAACATTACATCACAGATAAAATAAAATGGCGTTGCATGGGAAGTGCAGAGTCACCCTACTTGGCGGCATTTTTTCGAATACTAAGCTAAATGGGTTAAGTGGACCTTATTACGCACGTGAATGTGGATTCAGTTTCGTATAGTTGGGATATTAGTCAGTATTTTATATGCAGATGGACGTGTTCGACTGCGCGCAGAGGTATGCAAGGGAGAACACCCCATTGATCGTCATCACTGGAAAGGATTATGGATCTGGATCTAGCAGAGATTGGGCAGCTAAAGGACCATACCTACTTGTAAGTTAACATCAGTACATGCACTATGTATAGGTATGACTCATTTAAGAATCCACAATTACGCAAAACATGTAACCACGTAACAGTAAATGTGGCTGTCAAATGCAAAATTGTGACACTGTTCCAAAGAAGATGACACCCGCGGAGCCTTGTCAAAACCAAATACGATACTATTGCACCTGTCTTCATGGTTCTATGTTCTATATACTGCAACCGAGAAACAGTACAGTGCAGAGTGATGACGCTGGCGAATGCAGAGATTTAAGCAATAGGTTAAAAAGTCTTTATGCCACTATTTCATGGGTGGCTTCAGTGTTAGTGTGGACTACCTCGATTATTACGTATCTGGTACGCAGTAAGAATTTTGCGCTTGACAGTAATGTTTGTTTCGCAGCAAGGATGTGGAGCTAAGAAACAAAATGAAGTCTCGGAGCTCATTTATCTATAAAACAAACTTTTAAATCAAACTTTTTATTAAACATTCTAATTCTTCATGCATTTATGGCTGTTAAATTGAAACCACATTCGTAGGATTGCCTTGTTTACTGACGTTTCGGCCATCTTGATGGTCGTCAGTAATTATTGCAAGTACAATGTTATAAGTATCATACTAATTTTATTGATGTATACGGCTAATGAGAAATCCACTGACACAGTATACATACTGACGGTACGAACCACAGTAAATACTGAACCTGTGGCTTTCACCAAACTGCATATGAACAATTTGGTGATCTCGCTTCATGGCTAATTTTCGTTGTTTTTGATGAGTAGTAATAAAATATCATAGTCACGCGAGCTTTTAAAACTAAAGGAATAGCTGTCTTTACCTCATGTTGGATTATCAGAATGAAAACCACAGCATAAGTTTCAAATATTACATCAAAATTGATGTAAATTCTCTCTGCTGCTTAGGTGCTGAGAGATCAGTTGCCAGATTTCAAATATGAATTTACCTACCTACCTTAAAGCGGTGTATAATATAAAACTAGCGGCACTGTGAAAATGGCGCAACTGACAATTTTTACGTTTTTTGACGATAGGCAAGAGATTTGTAGAGTTTGGCGGTTTAGAATTACTAATATGGAATTACAGATAACATTCATAATATGACATCTCTGTCAAACAATATTAACGATTTTTAACTTGCCAAAGGCTCTCGACGAGGCGGATATGTATCATTACATCATATGTCTAATAAAGCTATTCAATTCTTTACTGAGGTTATTAGACAAAAACCTCTCTTTCATAGTACTTTACATTATATTATGGAAGCACATAATCACAAATTACGTAGGGCATTCGAGCAGTGATAGCAGAGTCCTTTGAACGTATCCATCGCTCCAACTTGGTGGGCATGGGCATCGTGCCATTGCAATTCCTGCATGGTGAAAATGCCGAAACACTGGGTCTTACTGGTAGGGAGGTATACAATATCGTCATACCAGACGTGAATGACATTAAGCCGGGACAACACATCCAAGTACAGACCAACACCGGCAAACAGTTCCAGGTGAGAAGTGAAGATTATTTATTTTTGTTTATACGTTTCTTCGTTCAGACAAAAACTTCGTAGAAATATAATACTTTTTTGGCGGATATAAATTTTCTTCATTTAATAATGTTTGTGTTCATTCGAATAAATTGCTCATAACATCATTTCAGTTTCCTCATGGTTTTGGTGTTATTGATAGACATATCGCTGAAGTGCCTTTAAAAAAGAATCGCAATAGTATATATCAAAATTTGAGAAATATGATCGTGAAATACATAATTATAAATACGTTAGATTTTTCGGAAGAGTCAGTCATGCAGAAAATATTTTTAAGCAGGGGTAAAGGTATCCCATTTTTAAAATCCGGAATTTTCTCGACAGGTGATTCTGCGTTTCGATACTGAAGTGGATTTGCTATTCTACAAACATGGTGGTATCCTTAACTACATGATTAGGAAGATGCTGAGTGCTATTTAGAACATTCCAATTTACAACTTGTTCAGTTTGGTTTCTGGTGGTGAGGGGCATTTTATATTCATTTGTTTGCTGATTCTCATGATTCATACGTAACTGACGTCTTTACAATATTCCACACGTATAGTCTAGTGATTGTCTAACTTCAACATATTATGTTTCACTGACTTGATTCATCTGACCTAGCAATCTCTTGCAACTTGAATATTATATGTATGTTTTGTTTAATATGTAAAACAACATATTAGAATATGATTGGTATGTTACTTAACAGTTATAACATCAAAACATTATTGAATAAGTGGCTGCCACATGTAACCAGTACGAATATGTTTTACAAAGACCGGGGTTGTTATTTGAGTCATTTTGCCCTGTTGATTTACCGAATATGCATTTCCAATAACTTGAAAGATCATCACTGGACTATAGTTGGGGTATTTACATGTTCACGGAAGTGACTGGTTCGGATAACCTATCACTGTTTGTATTATGCTAGGCAATAATATTGTAGGTGGTCTTTTCAACATTTATCGTAATTAATTGATTATTGAATTTATTGATTCTTGTATTTTATTTAGACTGATTTTTGCGGAATATCATGTTTGATGATTTTTATTGCTTTATTGAATAAAGGTTTCATGCGGTTGTTATTGCTTAAAGGAGTATAAACCAATGACATATTTTATTGTATCCAGGAATCCAGCTATTTGATTTTGATCGATGTTTTATATGTTGATTACGTTTTTATATTATTGCTCGATTTCTCTAGCAATGTACATAGTCTTTGAAACAATAAATATATTCTATTGTTCTAGAGTGTTTTATTTTATAATATGTCCTAGAACAAATGCAACGTCATGTCTATAGCATACGCCAGATCAGCGCATTATCATTGTCACGTATTTAGTGCATAATCAGTACGGAGACCTGTACGATTTCGTCAACTTAGTGAGTTTGATAGGGGCCGTATAGTGGGACTTCCGGAAGCTGGACTTTCTTTTCGGGCAATTGCAGTTAGAGTCCAAAGAAGTGTAGACACTGTGGTTAGGTGTTGTCAGGCATGGCTTCGAGAAGGCCGTACGCAAAGAGCAAGGGGCACTGGACGCCGCCGTAGAACAACAGACCGGGAAGATCGCCGCCTAAGATTATTTGCCTTAAGGGACCGTTTCTGCACTACCAGGTCCATTGCAAATGAATGGTTTGCAGAACACGGAAGACCTATTGGTATGCGAAGTGTTTACCGACGAATGAGAAGTTTTGGCTTGTTTTCATACCGGCCACACTGGGTCCTCCCTTTAACTCGAGAACACCGACGTAATCGCCTTGAGTGGTGCAGACAACGGTCACTCTGGGATCAGGAATGGAACAGTATTGTCTTTAGTGACGAGTCTCGATTTTGTTTAGGCATGCACGATGGTCGTGCCAGGGTTAGAAGGCGACGTGGTGAAAGGAGGAATCCACAGTTTTTTGTTGAAAGACATGTTCATCGCACTGTTGGAGTTATGGTTTGGGGTGCTATAGCTTATGGTTCCAGGTCACCTTTAATCTTCATCAGAGGTAACATGAACGCGCAGCGTTATATCCACGAAGTTCTAGAACCCCATCTTTTACCCTATCTTGACACCCTGGCAGATCCAACTTTCCAACAAGATAATGGCACCTGATCAGAAGCATGCCTAGGCGCGTTGGAGAATGCGTAGCACATCAGGGTGCATCCACACATTATTAAAGGTCAAAGGGCTTTAAAGCAGTGCAATCATTTTGAAATTTTTATCATTTACTTATTATGCTTCATTAAGTACTTATACAAAATTTTATTAAAGTAAAACCATTTAAACTGGGTGTTCGGATTTATATGTCACTTAGTATAATTGTGACAGATTGACCCTCAACCTCACATACGCAAGCGCCGCCTAGCTGCAGCAAAACAGGACATCACTGCCATCACCTTCAGAAGTTTAGATCATTTGGCAAACACCTTGAATGGCATTGGAAGATAGATTAAACGATATAGTCCGGTACAATTGATTTCGCAGGCTTACTATCTAACACCTCGAACGGGAATAGCCGATGTTCCGTAGACTGAAGGATTTATTGCGGTGAAATTCAGCTTTTTCCAAATTTGATCAGCACCTCGGTCGGGTGGAATAAAGGATATAGTCTGGTGAATTTACCTTCGTAAAATTATTTGACAAACACCGCGGATAGGATCAGCCGATGCCGTCGGATGGATTAAAGGATATAGTCTGGTAAAATTAACATCATTGCAAGTTTATTAGCCATTGACCTCGAACAGAAGGATAAAGGATACAGTATAGTGGAATTACCTTTGCAAGTTCACTTTGCTAACATCTCAAATGGGAGTACGGGTCAAAACTAAAATTACACGACTTGGATTGGCGGGTAACCTTTTTTTGGAGACTACCTATGGAGGCATGGAAAACATTAGGCCCCATAGTATATGACTATACCGAAGTAAGATTTCGATGTGTTAGTTTGTTCGAAATTTTTCAGTGCTTCATTGGCTGATATTTCAAATGCCCTCCGAATAAAAAAAGCCACAAAATTATTTTTTTCCGCACACAACAAATTAATGTCAAAAGTTCCTATAAAAAAAGTTCTACCGGCTTTCCTATTAAAATACAGGAGTCTAAGGAACGCCACTGGAAATCAGTTTTAACAACTTTAAGAGACACCTTAGAATTAATTAAAATATCCTGATAGTGTCCATGGGAAAGATTCAACTCAATCAGATCGCTAAGGAAGAGACTTAAAATGAAATATTGATAAAAAGTTTTTCACACTGCACACAGACTTTCATAATGGCAAAACGATAACATTTTGGCATTTATGAAATTGACCATTTTTGACCAAACTCTGTCGTTTCCATACCATTGCTGTCGATTTATATTGCAGCTACTCCCAATAAGGTCTGACTTAAATCTATAACTCAATCAAGCGATCTGAAAAATTACATCCTGGCGTTTTCGGCAAGATTATTACGTAAACAATCTAAATAATGTTAGAGAAACCGACAAAATGTCAACTTGTTGACTAGATAGTTCTTAGTGAGCAAATAGTTCATACCGCTATTGCTCGCTGTGAGCATCATCTATGGGGGAATGACTCAACGATACGCTCAGTGACCAGCTGCAAGTCAGTTCTCCAACATTCATTGTTGGTATATCTCTTTGAAAATGTGACAGAAAAAGATTGGTTGAATAGCAAGATCACATCTGGATTGGATGGTGATTGTGTGTATTGGTCAGCGTGTGAATAAAATCAGTGATAATTGCTATGTGAAAAAATTATTACTGAATATGCTGCCCATGACGTATGTGTATTAGCTGTACCAGTCAGGTTACTTGTGTTGTCCTTTTCACAGTATAGAGCTTACAGCTTAGACCTCCAATAATGCATCTAATCTCTGAAGTAGATGCTATATCATAGTCAAAGATTGTTATCTGAAGCGTCATAACGTTTAGGCAAAACATACAACTACAGAACGAGTGCACATCAAGTAAACTACAGCTAGTTCCAAGTTGACATCTTGTAGAAACCTACACAATGTCGCAAAAAACCTATATAATGTTCAAAAACGACATAAGATAAGTAATACCCCTGCCGGTCCCCAATTACAAACCGGTTACCAGAATTATTGCATTTCCAAAATGACGAGAGTGATACTCTGGATGCAGTACCAAAATCAATAGAACTGTACTGAAACAAAAGCAGTCCATTTTATCGAGAGTGCATTTGCTTAGCTTAAAAATTAGGATTTTCAAAATGTTACTTTTGAGACATTATGATTCAGGGTGCACATTTTTTTACTAATAGTGCTTTGGGCTTAATCTGCTCCTAGCGATCTAAATGAATGACTAAATTGTTTTTTATGGACAAGTTACTAAATATAAAAATTCCATCGAATACTACAGCGTCGTTCAGAAGTTATTTGGGAGAAACCAATTTTCAGTAGGGGAGCCTCGTAGGACGTTTTTCATAGGAAGTTGTAGTATTTTTTGTGATTTATATACATACGAGAGAGTGACAGGTTATTCTCGTATAGCCCGCGCAGATCACAAAAATGCTATGCGACCAGTTTACCAACATCACTATTTAAATGGGTATTGGTTACTTTTATTTGTGTAACTCAATTCATTATAGTTTATGACATTGGAACTTGACACTTAACGTATATGTGATGTATTTGTGTATTTGGAAGATATGAATTGGATCACATATTCTCCACAAACATTCGCTGCTGTAACGATTCAGGTATGCCCCAGTATCACTCTCTTTTATTTATTTATTTATTTATTTATTTATTTATTTATTTAGATTCAATACACTGCCTGAACGGAACACTCCATTGAACAGGCAGGAAGTACAGCATGCTCAGCCGACAGTTAGAAAATACCTTCGAAGGCTGTCTTTACTGTAGTGAAAGATATCAAGTGCACGTGCACTTTCACAAATGCCACACATAACATAGAGTGGTGAAAACAACAATAAGTTTGTTCTAGGAACAGGTAAATAGAATAAACTGTTGCTACCATGACGAGTACGCAAATTAGGTATGTGTAAATAAATTTTCTCTAAGAGTGAAGGACAATCAATGCTGCCATCGAGCAATTTACACAAAAGGGTAGCAGCGAATAAATGTCTGCGCTTCGTTAAATTTGGCAGATTGAATCTGCTTAATAATATGTCATTACGAAAGCCCCTTTCAGGATAAACTCTATCTTCTTTATACCACAAATACTTCACGAAACGTCGCTGAACTCTCTCAAGATTATGGGAATGTACATCGTAAGCCGGGTACCAAATAATAGAACAATATTCTAGAATAGATCTAACAAAAGCATAATATAGTAAGATTAAAGTTTTAGGATTATGAAATTGTCTGCTGTTTCTGATAACAAAACCAAGATTTTTGTACGCTTTTGCTACAATAGTATTTATCTGCTCGATAAATGTCATTCTGGGGTCAAACAAAACACCTAAATCTTTGAACGAAAAAACTCTCAGGAGCGAGCTGTTTCCAATCTCAGAGACAGATTCTATCGGTTCCAACTTGCGTGTTAGCGTCATAGTGCAACATTTATCAACATTCAAATGCATATTATTAACTTCACACCACTGATGTACAAGGTTCAGATCTGCTTGCAATGCTAAACTGTCATCTAAGGTATTAACACTTCTAAAAATCTTGAGGTCGTCAGCATACAGCAAATACTCACACCGCAAGTCACTTACTATGTCGTTAATGAATATAAGAAATAACAAAGGGCCAAGTACTGAACCCTGGGGTACGCCTGACGTAGCCAACACCGGATATGATTTGTAACCACGATAATCTACACGTAAATGTCTGTTATTAATGTATGACTGGAAAAAATCAAGAAATCTAGACGTTAAACCAATTTTTGACAACTTCTGTATCAAAATACCGTGATCTAAACGGTCGAAAGCTTTTGAAAAATCGGTATAGACTACATCAACCTGCCCTCCTTTGTCCAAAACCTCCGCAGCGTATTGCTTGAAACATGCTAAATTACTACATGTTGATCTACCTTTATAAAAACCATGTTGACCAGTACAGATGGTATGACTTACATGAGAAAACACGACCTCTAAAAGTACAAACTCAAAAACTTTCGCCAAATTGCTCAAGATAACAATCGCTCTATAGTTCTCAATATGTGACCTATCGCCTTTCTTAAAAACTGGAGTAATTTTCGACATTTTCCATTTGTCAGAAAGGTTGCAGTTTTTAAAGACAAATTAAAAAGGTATGCTAAGGGCTGAGCAAGTACCGAAGCACAATCCTTAAGAAAGAAAGACGGTATGGAATCTGGAATCTTGCAAAAGATAGGTCAAATTACTTATCAATATTCCTGCAAAAGAATAGGTATCGTTAGAGTAAAGTGAACTAAGCCGGACCCTTCCCAAACATCGGACTCTTAGCTTCATTACCTTTATTCGGGTTTTTACAGGAATTCCGTGGGATTAAGATGGATCTAGGATCGTTTTTCCCAGAACCCGAATACGGCTATTGAATCTGCATATCTGATATTGCATTATTGACTGAAATGTAAGCATGACCAACTGCAGACGGCAATGTTTCGCACTGATTAGTGACTCATCAGTGCGGTATATGTCTTAGGTCTAGTCTTGGAGACGGACGTAACGGAAAACCAATAAGAGGGTATATGGCCTTTCGAAAGACTAAAAACACTTGCGCACAAAATGTTTTGAGTTCGGCGAACCATTTGTAGGTGGCGATTGTCATATTTTTATCTACATGCGCATAATATTCCAAAATAGATTTTGACAGTGCAAACAGATTTTCCGCTGTGCTGCAATTTTCAATATTAGTCCTAGATATTTACAAGGATGCCTTTATTTCTAATATTATAAATAAGAAAGTATGGATGTTTGTTACTCAACATCACGCCAAAATGATTGAACGATTCTGGATGAAATTTGGTACATAGATAAAATATAGCCTGGAATAGTACAAGGCTACCTTTTACGCCAGGAAATAACTTTGGAATATTTACTTCACAATGGCACGAGGTATCTGGCGCGAAAGCGCTCAGTTGTTCTACCGAAAAGGGTAAATAGGGCATTTGTATCATTCATTTACTGCATTTCGACAATAGTTTTCTTCGCGTGATCGACTTGATTTAGATTTGTTTGGTGTTTTGCTTTACTTTAAGTACATATATAATACTTTAAATAAATACCTAATGGGCTATTTGACATACAATATTTAATGCTGATAGATTCATTTACCTTTTATGTACTTTACTTAATAATTGATAGCCGGGGAAGGTTATAAGGAATGGTTTTATCCTCAATTTTGCAATCAACTGTCGTTAACAGATGCTTCATTTCTTCACCAGTTGTTATCAGCGACTTCGTATGGTTTAAGCTGTTACTACCCGTTACTACGTTTAGTATCTTTGATGGCATTATTATATTAAAATTTATTTGCATGTTGAACTTTATCAGTGGCACTACCTACACGTTCCGTGGGTAAAACCGCTGAGCCAAAAAGCGATTACATATAATGAAATTCCTTAAATGATATGATCCTGGGTTCGTGCTTCTCATGGAATTGTTTCACTTAGACGTTTGGTTAAAGTTTTACTGAAGAAAAAAGTTTTTGTTTTTATTCGCGCAAACCGGAGACCTTCCAGTTGCCTAATCCACTATTTTCTTGAAATTTCTTTTTAAGTTCGGAAAGGTTGATGGGAAAAGGAAATGAAGTCCTAGAATGACTGAAGCTATTGATGTCTGAAGGAATAAGGTGGAAGAAGGCATGGATCAGGACACTATATTCTATATCGTTATTTTCAACACGAGCCGCCCATGGTTAATGTGATGCAGTAAATAACTATTCATTATCCAATATTCTGAATTAGTCTAGATTAGATTGTATGTTTGTACTTTATAAACACCGGTTGTGCATTTGTCTGTTTTAAATATTGTGACTGTTGTCTGGTTATTATTGGCTTATGGGTAACATAGAGAGTTTTATTAGGCATCGATTTAGTTAAGTAGGTGATAAGATACCCCAAAATTTGTACGAATATCTATATAGGACATAACTGTCATACTACCTACTTAAATAATCAATTATTGTTATTATAAATTATGAGAAATTTCGTAAAACGACGAGATTTAAATCGATATGAAGATCTGATGATATGAATCTCCACAAAACATATATACTGAGTCTTCATGGAAGATAGAATTATCTCCAGCATATCGTATATTTGGCAACAATGCGATCTCGGGACCGAGTCGGTTGGTCGTGTGCCGACTAGAATCAATCGGAACGGAATGAACGGTTAGCAATAGAATAGACGGTTAGTCTGACGTGCTTATTATACCAAGTGTACAATGGACCTGCCGGAAACATATGTAAAGGGTTTTCACGATGAGAATGAAGTTAGGAAGATGAAGTACTCTACTTTGGGCAGTACTGAACTGAAAGTATCGCAGTTGTCGCTTGGTACTGCAGCTTTTTCTTACTTCTATGGGTAGGTAGTAGATACTTAACTAAGATACGTGGTACTTGCAGTGACGTTTCGTGGGAGACTAGAGGGGGGGGGGGTTTGGTCGGATGGGGCGGCTCGCCGCGAGCTTCCAGTGTAAGGGGGCTAACAAATGTTGAAAAACCATATTTTGTAACTATTAAATAAAGTATTTTAGGTACTGTTGCGTCTTGTAGAACTTCGGATTTCACTTTTTTTCACTTGAAACTTCTAGAGGGTAGTCTGATAGATTAATTTAAATAAAAAAGTGCGGATGAAGCACGCTTTTCAACCATTTTTTTCCCCAAAACACGTATTTTTAGCAGTTATTTCAACCATTATTTACACCGCTATCTGCCATATATGACGACGTTGATGTCTGAGCATGTGTCATATATGAGAGGCGCTTGCCTGCGGTGTTGCCGGATTGGGCTCCGCATTTAGGCAAAATGAAAAGTGGAAAATCTATATACATTTATATTAATCGATGAAACACAAAAAGGAAAAACTGAAATAAACAACAATAGCAAAATAAAAAGCGGTTCTTAATAAGTATAAAGTATTAAGCTAAATCACAATAAATATATAATATAATAAAAAACTAAACATAAAAACAGTGGTAAAGCAAAAAAAAACAATACCATGTAATTATAAAAAACAAAAAACAACAAATAGTAAAGTAAAAAGCTATTCTAAGTGGTAACAAAAAACAAAAAGTAAAAACAGTAGTAAAACGAAACACATTTCCATGTAATTATAAAAAAAAATCTTTTTATTTTGCTGTTTGTTATTTGTTTTTTATGTAAGTATACACAATATTTTAGACACCTTTCTGCATGTAAGTCACCCTGTAAAAGGTTCGCTTGACACTTGGAATGCAAAGAAAGGCACTGCTGGCATACACACTTCAACAACCACTTACGACCCTGCGTATTCGTGAAACCAAGGGCACGCTGAGGCCCTCTTAGTTCATTCTAATATTATTCTAACAGTTGAAAGGTCGAAGTGTCTGTGTGTTGTGATTTTGTGAATATTGTCTATATCAAGCTCAAGTCGATCAATCAAACGGTGAGGGTTTTCACTGAGTATCTTTTATTGTTTTGCTGTACTGCATGTCATGTGTATTTTTTAACCATGGTACCCTTATAATCATGATAATAATTGTAATAAGTCAAAGCTAGTCAGATGAGATATGTTTATCAACAGTTAAAATAAAGTTAATGGTAACTT